CCATTTTAGGGACTCTTGTCTTTTACGTTAGCTCTCCACTCTCCTGTAATGCTCTCATCACCCTGCCCTAGACATACCAGCTGCAAATTCTGTCACTGGTTAGAGCAGGAATGAATTACCTATTCTTATTCCACTGAGAGTTAACTCTAGGACATTTGCTTGTGAAACGAACCAACTGGTAAGTACTGCTCCTCTGAGAGCTAGCATTTAAACTGCCATCCAATCAGGTTCTAGAAGGTTTCTAGCTGATTACATCCACTTCCAAGGATGCTTTGGGAGACTGACCTTTGCTATGAGGTTTTACTTAGTATAAGAAATTCCAGGGTTTTTAAATTACCTCTTTGTTTATTGGGTTCTTATTTTAAGGTAACGCAATAATAACTTATGTAATGGAGTTTTTACACTAAAATACATCAGTAAGGGGTGAAAGGAAGAGATAAAACTGTAGCAATCATTTTTAGCACAGTTAGAGATCAGTGCAGCAAAGACATAAAGTGGAATAAAGTTCTCAAAGGGAATTCTTAATTTTAGCATATAATCATTTCATTGGTGCCTTTACTAATCAGCAGTTTCTCACTTAGACACCCAAATTCTTAAGAATACAAATTGAGTCCTTTTTATTGCTATTAATGATTATGAATTTTGGTCCATGGGTTATTTTTTAAGATGACAGACATCACTCTGATTGCAGAATGTAGGATTTTTAGATTATCTAAAATATGAATGGGTGGTTCTGGGCTTTGGGTAACCTTTAATAATAAATGCATATGTTTATTCACACTTCACTTTTTGTAGCCAAAAATGGTTGACAACTGGTTAATATCGGTCATTGGTGATGTATTTATTTTTCATGTTGCACAGATGGCTATGTTAATGCATTTTTCATCATGCTTTGCCCTTTTTGAAACCTCTTTGTCTTAATTGCAGTCAAGAAAAAGCTTGGCTTCATTCCCAACCTACGTCGAAGGTAAGAGCTGAGAAGGAAATATTGAACACCGAGTCATTCATGAATCTTCTAGCATTTTGGGTATTGGAAGCCCTGGGCTGTAAGACGATAGTGGGGAAAAGAGACCACAAAGTCACCTATTCTCAGTCTTAAGTCTTAGAATCTTAGACTAAAACAGCAGTAGCCCTGAACCTCTCAAAGACCCTTCTCCCTGCCTTTGCTGATTCTGTCCAGGAGACTCTGAGGCTGGGGGCTTTGCCCAGCCTAGAACTGGCCATATTGGATCCAAAACCCAAGTCTCCTTATCTCTAGTCCAATATACCTCTTGCATCCATCAAGGCCCATTCAAATGGGAATGATGTTTAACTAAGGGAGAAATTTTGCTCTTCATTTAAAAAATAAATAAAAAGACCTTCCCAGTAATTCCCGTCTCTTGCTTGGATGAGCTAGCGATAGTAACATTTATCAAGCTCTTTCTTACTGTCTGCCAGGTACTGTTCTAAGCACTTTCTATGTAATAACTAATTGAATCCTCACGTTGATCTTGTGAAGTGGTTTTTATCATTATCCCCGTGTTATGCACGAGAGAACTGAGGCATGCGGGGTGTGAGCAACCTTCCCAAGATCCTACAGTTAAGTAGCAGAGACAGGCTGGGAACCAGAAGTCTGACTCCACCATTCTCCCTGTAATCAATATCCGATGCAGTGCCTTTGTTTTCTGCCACACAAATGTTGATATTATGCAGGTTCTATGGATTCTGGCAATTTGCTTGTAGTTTGGTGTTCCTGGCAATATCTTGTCACCTAGTTTTGTTGTAAATATATTCCAGTGGTCTTTGGTTTCCCTATCTAGTTTCTTTGTTTTAGGTGGTGATTAAGAGAGAATAAAAAACTATGCTACTACGACCATCTTCTTAGAACCCTCCAAAGTAGTTTTTTAATGCTAAACAAATTATGTAAATGTTTGTCTAACACCCTCCTCTGACTTCTCAATTCATTTATAATAAAATTACAATTTATTAACCTAAAAAAAAAAAAACTGATGCAGTACTGCCACACATGGTTGTGCAGGTTGTTCACTGCACAAATGTATGCTGTCAACAAGCCTGGTGGGGCCACAACTCAATCCAGGCTAGACATCCCAGCTTGAGGTCAGGCCACACAACTGGAGCGTGCTACTGATCCTCTACCAGGGAGGACAGCAGATGGTTTGGGGGGCAGGGTAGATTGTCATTCCCTTGAAGGAGGATTTTCTGGGGGCCAGAGGATGCCCAGACATCGTGTCTGGGCTTTGGATCCTGTGCATGAACCGTTGGTGTGTTCCACTGCCCAAGAATGAATTACCTGGATTCATAAACCTACCTGAACCCTTGGGCCTGAAGCCCAGGACAAGCTCATAGGTTTGGTTGTTACTCAGGTTTCTTTCTTGAGTAACTTGGAAATTATTTCCACCATCTTTGCAAAGCTCCAAAACTCCACAAGAGTACCTTGGGGAGTTTTCAGAAGTTGACTGTTTCAGAATAGTCAAAACTATTCTTCGTATCCATTCCTCTAGGCCTAGAGATTTTCAAGCTCGGCATTAACATGAGTGTGAAGATATAACGTGTGTGCTCATTCACCCACAGAGCAGCATAAAGGCATCACTGAAAAGGAAAACCTGCAATTCTTTGACTTAGGACCATTATAACTTTTTTTTTTTAACTTTTAAAAAATCCACTAGCACTGAGCCTAAAATGAACTTATGAAATTCGGGCTGTTTTTTGTGAGCGTAATACCGTGACATTTGATTTTAGTTTCCCCAGAGGATAATTGACATAAGATCATATCTCAAATATATATTTGTTTAGGTCCAATATTTCTGTCTCTTGGCTGCCTGATATTTATACAGTCACTTAAATATTATCTGGATTGCTTTTAAATATATCTGCATATCCATACTCATTATGGTTAAAGAAGGATCCTTTTCAGTAAATAGAGCTAAATCCACTGATGAATATATGATATAGGAAGTCCCATAGAGAAGATGTTGCATTTTTGTTTTTCTTTCTTTTTTTTTTTTTTTTTTACGGTACGTGGGCCTCTCACCGCTGTGGCCTCTCCCATCGCGGAGCACAGGCTCCGGACGCGCAGGCTCAGCGGCCATGGCTCACGGGCCCAGCCGCTCCGCGGCATGCGGGATCCTCCCGGACCAGGGCACGAACCCGCGTCCCCTGCATCGGCAGGCGGACTCTCAACCACTGCGCCACCAGGGAAGCCTTGTTTTTCTTTTAACATTCATTATTTTCACAAAATAAATGGAAGCTTTTTAAAAGTTGCTATTCCAGGTGAGACCTTTTTTCCCTCAATACCGGATTGTCAAAAATGATTATGTTTCTGTAACATTATAAATCTATCGCTGGAATTTGAGAGAAGACTGATAAGCTCTTACTTTTTACAAGGCACAGTGTGGATCCAAACTTGTCCAGGTATTGTTTTAGTTTGACAGCGCTTCCCTGCTATATACCTAAAGTTGTACATTGTAAATAACCTGCATCCTTCTCACATCTATAAAAGCTTCAGGGTAGGAAGGGTGTAGCTGTTGAGAAGCATGTAAGTGACTGGTATGTGGTGGAGGCAGCTGTGGCTGTGGATCACTCAGTGTTTATCCAGAGTCTCAGAAAGATTGAGAATCAGAAAACGAACAGGTTTCCTGACTTAATTACTACACACACGCTTTGTGGAGGCCTTTCCTAAAACATTGTTAAATTTCTTTTTTTCCACCACCAACTTGGTTTTAGGAAAATGAATAGATTACTTTAAGGCTGTACCCTGATAAGTAGCTTATCGTGGGAAGCAGCTGTTTAAGCTCAAGATGAGCTGGATGTGTAAGGATAAAGATAAAAACCATTTCAGATTAGCTCTCCAAAAGGAAAAAGCAAATTGTTTCCATTTCAAGTTATCTAATTTACGACGCTGAGGTTTTAACAGTGGGTTAAAAAGTATATTTTAGTCTTTCCACATGTGGCATTCAAGCCAAAGAAAATACGTATATTTTCATTGCAGAATTAAAATGCCTTTCTTAGCACATCTGTTGTAAAGTTATATATTATTCCGAAACATGTTTTAATTTCCAGTAGGGTTTACAGGTGATTGTGGTTAGAATCAGATGCCCCCATTTTAAATATTTAAAACTAAGGTTTGATTTAAAAGGCTGGTGAATGAGAACAGAAAATTCCAATTTTCCTTGGAATTGATATGTATGTAGACGCAGGCCGGGAACATTGTAGCCTGTGAGTCAGCAAGGTTAGCAGCATGAGACCATGGCTTTAGGGTAATGTCACCTGTCTTGCAGATTTCAGGTTAGAGGCTATTTTGGGAATCCAAACATTTGGCAACAAATACTCATTTTTCTGATTTATAAAATTTGTTTCCCCCATTATGGATAAGATGGAAGGGGGCGATATGCATGGGTGGCGAGTAAAGGAACTGCTGTAAAATGAGTTTTTCTAATAAGACAGCCTTCTGCTCACCTAACCATTTGTACAGCAAACATTTATTTGATACCCACTGGGTGACAGACACTGACTAGACACGGGACAGCCAGAGATGACTGTGACGAGCTCTTTGTCCCAAAGAGCTCGCAGTCTAACAGGCAAAACAACATCCTTTATCACTGAATTTTATGTTTCATGTTTAAATAAATATTCACATTGTTTCTCACAATAAATGGACTGGGTGAAATAAGCTTCTCTAGGAAGAACTTGTTCCTTCTATTTGCAAATGAGGGCTGAGTGAAGGTAGACCAGAGAGATGCTCCAGACTCGCAGGTTGATGCACCTGCTCAGGGGTCTCTGGAACTGGCCCACCTGTGCTGGAGGTGAGCGGCGGGGGAGAGGTGGTGTGATCGGGGGGGTAGAGCGTGGCTTCACTCACCACTGTGGCTCTGTGTGTTACAGTTCCTGGACCTTGTGACCCTGAGGACTTGATCGATGGAATCATTTTTGCTGCCAATTACCTGGGCTCCACCCAGCTTCTCTCAGACAAAACCCCCTCCAAAAACGTGCGCATGATGCAGGCCCAGGAAGCAGTCAGCAGGATCAAGGTGAGGGGGCGCCGTGTGCTCCGAGGGGGGCGGCGGGCAGATGTGGGCGCCTGAGCCGGCCGTAGTGCTCACCCCACACCTCACGACCCGAGCTTAGAGGAGAGGAGATTGAGGTGATGTGGCAGGCAGTGCTTATACACGTATACACGTACCTGCCAACAGTTCTAAACAGAAAAAAGATTTCCAAAGTATGCTGGAGTCCTGATGTATAAATGCTACATAATTTGGTTGTTCTTAATGGCCAGTCTTGAGGAAAAAGTGATAAGCTTTGAAAAGTTGAAAAGGTGAGAAAGGATAACATTGTAAGTATTATATTTCCAGTATAATATGTGAGAGCTGTATCACCGTATTTCCTTGTACAGTTAGAGACCAGTGACTAAAACGTCTGTGATACAGTGTGGTTCCAACTAGCTGTCATTGCATTCGAACCGGTTGATCCTGTTCAAGCTAGATTGAACTGGCTTGCTTCACCTAAAACGAGCCATTTGATCAGATCTACCCTGGCTAGTCTGAACCAAGTCGGTGCAAGGGTAACTCAGTGCAAACCAGTCATAACCTGTTTGAATCTGCCTTATCAAGATTTAAAAGCAGCGAGCCTATATGATCCCTGAAGAAGCACTTTTGTCTAGTTTAAATCATTCACAGCTAGTTTGAACCGGCCAGAGCTGGTTTGATCCCATGGAAATGCAGAGCTCTAGACTCTCCACCACGATGCTGGTGCCACCTAGAACCACGCACAAGCCAAGGGCGACAGCGGCCCTCATGGTGCCATCACGTAGTTCAAGTGCAATTAAGGGCCACCAGCACCTAGAGCCCCTGAGGCTGTTTCCACGTAGAGCCACAGGCATCGCATCACCGTTGAAATCAGAGCCGGCTGTTTCGAGTGACTTGGGATAGGTTATGACTTCCCAGATTTGGTTCTGTCTGGTGTCCACTGGCCGGAATCAACTCCCTCCTCAAGGGACCAGTCCCTTTTTCATGTCTTCTCTCTCACACATCCCCAAGTTCCGTCCTGGGCTTCGTGTGGCATGTGGAATGAGAAGCACGAGTAGAAGGCCATACGGGAGAGTCCTTTACTGTCTCCATCAAGGGAAGGATATTTCTCGAGCACTTATGAGTGCAAGGCTGTGCGAGGTCCCCTGAGGGAGGGAAAATAGTGATTTGTAAAGTGAGATCCTTACCCTCAAGCTCAGCAGCACAAATGAGAAGTGAATCAAGCCAGCGCGCGTGCAGGGGGTGCCAGAGGAGGAGAGAGGGGTGTCAGGTACTAAGGGCCACAGGAGTGCGGAGAGACCTTGAGAGACGAGATGCTGCCTGAAAGCCCAAGGGAGGGGAGAGCAGCAACCACGGAGGTCACAGAGGTCACACGGCAGGGGCCGTGCTTCTGGTCCTCCGGTCGGGGCTGATTCCCATCTTATTCACATGCCCAGGCTGTGCCATGCCCTGAATATTAAACACGGTCATCACTGGCCCTTCCCTTCACTACCCATCACAGCACAGTAAGCCCACACTGCAGCTTTTGATAATATTATCGACATTTTAGGAATTAGGATGTGTAAGCCAGAGAGTAATTTACAGCTACCTCTTACCCCCAGAGATGCATCTTATCCTGCGACTCCCAACAAGACAACTCCCTGACAATGTATCAAGCTGACCTTCCTGCCCTCCGCATCTTTCAGACTCAATAATGCTGCTGGTAGAACATCAGGTTCCTGTTGAGCTGCCCATCCAAGCTTGGCCTGATTCTTTTTCACTGTCTCCGTTATCATAAAGAGGTGACAGTAATACCCACAGATGTCCCCACAGCCTTCTCAATCTTAATTTAGTATCTCCCAGGCACAACGTTCAGAACAAGAACGCACAAACCTCTCTGAGAGAACAAGCTGCTTTTCAGGCATTGTCCTGCCTTATTTCATACAGAGCAGAGAACTTTAAAAACATAGTCTTTATGGACGTACTTCTGACCCCTCCTGTCCCACAGTTTCCAAACATGTTATGATTTTGTTACATTAACATTTGCTAGGTAAACCCCCAGGGTGCCAGATGGTGAGCAAAACGCCACAAGAGAAATTGAGAAGTTTATGAGATAGAGAAGTTTATGACTCACAGGTCCTGGAGGAAGTACCTGCACACCTGGAGGGGCCACGTGGGGAGGTCAAGGCAGGACCTGGGCATAAGCCTGTCTTTATTGGGGTCTGTGGGTGGAATGCTTTGAGGTTGCCAGACTAAGGTCGGATTGTTCACTTCAAACCAAAATGGGGTTTTGGTGAGCTCCATGGGGGTCTTACCTAAGGGGCGCCAACGGGGAAGGCCCTGGGAGGCAGGGGGAGACTTGTTCACAAGGGCCGTCAAGGGGGTCCTTTCAGGAGCTTACATTTGCGCATGACTCTGCGGGCTGCTCTCCACAGCATTTGCTTGCATGAAGGAGCCAATGTCACTTTAAGGCCCACGCCAGCTGCTTGGCCAAACCAAATGGACGCTGAGGCAGTAATACCGTGGAGTAACTTAGCTGAACTCTTAACCCAGCACTTAGTTTCCCAGGTTAGTGGTACTGTTAGCTCCGCCAGCGTCAGTGGGCGTGCAAGGACCCGGCGTGGTTCTCTGACAGACGGGGACCCCAGTCAGAGAACCATGTGTTTGGAAATGGGGTGGTGCTTTTGGTTGTCACAGTGTCTGGGACATTTATATTGGCATTAGTGGCCAGAACCAGAGATACTTGATACCCTGTCATGTCCAGAACGGAGCCACATGACAAAGATTTATCTCCTCCAGAATGCCAGAGCACTTCCCTGTCAAGGAACACTACCCGGACCCATTCAGATAAATCCTCCAGAAGAAAGCAACAGTCCACCCCCAGATAGTACTGAAGACCCCTGAGACCAAAAACTGCATGTTGCTTTTAGATGAGTTTTTCCTAGGTTCTGTTTACTGGCCTCCTGACAGGTGCCCTTGACTCCTGCAGCTAGAGTCTCTCTGTCTTTCCACTGCCCTGTGACACGTATGTGTACTCAGTGACCTTGAGGGGAGAGCAGGCACAGACGCATCACCTGAACATAGAGCGGCGCTTAGGAAAGACGCCGCATCCCAGTACCAGATCCTGCCCAGTGCCAAGTGTTCTGTGCATTTTCTGATTTCCACAGTGGTTTCTGACAGTGTTTTTTCCCCTTCTTTAAAGTGCAGCTCCCTAGTGAAAAACCAGAAAGCTTACTTTGAATCTTCAAAGGATTGGTATCCAGAAGTTCCACAGGTCATTTGAACAAAAAATTAGATGGCTTTGTCGATCAGAACAGGCAACACAGAGGCTCTCTGATTATAAATCCATTTTAGACCTGCCTAGAGCAGAGAAAGCATTTGGAAAACGTATATTTATTTTTACAGCAAATTACTCTAGTGTGAGGAATTCATTATAGAGTAGTAAGATTAAACGGTTGCATTTCATTTATAAGTATCGTTTCACAATGTGCTTCTTGCATCTGAAGGAACTGTTGCCTAACATTAAATATTTTCTGCCTCATGTTCCTTTTACACCATTTAAACGCCTGTCAGATTGTTTGCCTTTACACCCAGCCTGACGCTTTTTCAAATTGTAAGTGGAGAAGGCTGCGTCTAGAACCCATGGTTTATTTCCACGCCCCCTATAAAGTTACCATCAGGATCGTGCACAGAGACTGCATTGCGTGCACAGGGAACCGAGGGGCCGAGAGCATTTCTCCAGATCACTCGGGTGGTCTCAAGGGGAGCGTGCACTGCGGTGCCCACACAAGCTCCCTTCTCTGAGGGAGGTGGTACCACGCTTTTTCCTAAAGAGAGGCTGCCCTTTCAGGAGTGAGTTACTCTGGGCCACCTCTAGAGACACGCAGAACAGAATGAGGGTGCAGAGTTTATAGCCACGTCCATCCAGGAAGGAAGGGGGAAAAATTTACTTGGAAGTCCATTCAGTAATAACCTCACCACAAACTGATGAGTAATTCCTGGCTTGGTGCTCTCACCTGCACAGAGACAGAGGAGTTTCCTCCTTTCTTTTTCCGATTCCTTCTTCCCTTCCTCCCCGCAGGGATCCCATCTTGCCCCTCTCTTTCCTCTGCCTGCATTGTTTGTTTGACCTGACGTGGATGCCAGTGAGACCTACCTCACCAGGAGTCCAGTTGTGGCTGTGTGTTTTTGGTGCTTTCTTTCTGAGCAAGCACTGAACCTGACGTTTGGGTTTCCATTTCAAAGCAGGCTTTAATTTCTGGTCTGTCCATCAATTACATGGTGCCTGTCACTCACATAGCAGCAACCGTGCACTGGAATTGAATAATGATACTGAATTTACACTTGGAGTCTTAAGAATTATGATTTTCCTAATTTAACAAAGAATTTATAGGTTTATTTGCCAAAATGGGAGGCGAATTTGGAGTTGTGGTTTGGCTAGATATGAATTTGGCTCAAAAAGCAAACTGTCCCTGTGCAGGATCCTGTGATAGGCATCTTAGGAGATAAAAATCAACCAATTCCTTGACCTTGAGAAACATGCATTTTAATAAGGGAGCCAAGAAGAGTGTTTAGGTAACAGTAATACAAGGCAGGCTGAGGAATCTGAAATTAAAAGACATTTCTATCCACCAAAATGTAAGAAATAAGGTGCATCTGAATGCAATAGCGGAATTACAGGACATCTGCCATTTTTTTTAAGTTTTTTTTTTCATCTTTGCACCCTCCCTAATATATTCTTTCTGCCTTTGTTCCTAATTTTTGAGAAATAGTAATATCCTTCCAGGAAGCTTCCCATATGATTTAGAAATGCATTAGAGCAATGGTCCTCAAAGTGGGACCTGGGAATTTGTTAGAAATGCAGATTCTCAGGCCCCACCCCAGTCAGAAACTCATGGGGGTAGAGACCAGGAATCTGTTTTCATAAGCCCTCCAGGAGACTGTGATGTATGCTATAGTTTGGGAGCCACTGCCTGAGAGACGGGTGGGTCATCCAGCCTGAAGGAGCCTCTGTTCTCCAGCTGTGCTCCGCACGTTCCGGGCAAGCCGAGTGCTTCTCGCTGATGGGGTTCCATTGGCAAATAAGCGCAAGAAACGCTGCCAAACGGATCTTTTTGGGTATTTGCCACATGTGTTTTCCTAGTAAAGGCTCTGAGAAGTCCTGTACTGAGGAAATTTAATTCAGTTTGTTTAACCAGAAGCTTCCACAATTACTTGAACGCAGAATGCATTATCGCTGTGGTGGTACCTGATAGTCTTGTTGCGAGGATTCTTTTAAACATGTTTTAGGGAAATATTCTGGAGAGAGCTTTGCTCTACATGCTATCAGTATCAAAAGTGCACTATGGGGCTTCCCTGGTGGCGCAGTGGTTGAGAGTCCGCCTGCCGATGCAGGGGACACGGGTTCGTGCCCCGGTCTGGGAAGATCCCACACGCCGCGGAGCGGCTGGGCCCGTGAGCCATGGCCACTGAGCCTGCGCGTCCGGAGCCTGTGCTCCGCAATGTAGAGGCCACAACAGTGAAAGGCCCGCATACCGGAAAAAAAAAAAAAAAAAAGTGCACTATGCAGAGACAGCCCCCCGCCCCAGCCCAGGGTGGGAATCCTGCCTTAACCCTACCTAGAGAACCAAACGGAAAGCCAGCGCAGCTAGCTCACTCACCTCCCTTCCTCTCACTACATCTCGTGCTTTGTTCCACCCTCATTCCCACTTCATTCTCTGCTCCTCAGCGGGAAGACGGGGTGATGTGCTAAATTCTGCCTGAGCCGTAGAAACTGCTTCATGTCCATGCAGAGTGTGGTGTTTGTCTCCATTTTCTTTCTCCATTTGTGAAGCTCACAAATGGCGTTTTGATATTTTTTGGTCCATGCATTTTTGTAAGAAGCATGCATTATCAAATATTATTCTGTCTTTACTAGCCTGCCCCAAAAGATCAGATTTTCCCATTCTTTTATAGAGAGATTTTCTTTAAGCGTTAAAAATTATGATTTAATTGTAGAATGAAAATTTCTATCAGTGTAGCATTGTCTAAGCCATCTGATTTCCCATCTGACTTGAAGTCTGTGGTTGATAAAGACGATATTGACACTGGTAGCAGACCCTTCACGTACATGATCTCATTTACTCCTCCAAATGGAGGGGGTGGGGAATCCTGTGAGGTAGGTATCATTACCCCCATTTTACAGACAGCCTTAGAAGTTTATAGATGAGAAACTTGTCCAGATGGCACAGTAGCAATTTGGAATATAGAGTGAGATTTCCAGGGTTTGAATATCTCTTCTGCCACTTAATAGCTGTGTGACCTCGGGCAAGTTAATTAGCCTCTCTGTGCCTCAGTTCCCTCTCCTGAAAGATGAGGATAATGTAGCGCCTACCTCACAGGGTTGTTGTAAGCTTTTACATTGGTACACATGAAATGCTTAGAAGGATACTGGCATATACCAAGCGCTCAGTAAATGTCAGCTGGGGAAAGAAAAGCTAGAATAGCCAGGAGGATCCCCGGCATAACTAAACTTGAAGGGTCTTAAGAACAGCAAATATCCAGTACACATTGCAGATCGAGTGATAGGATGGACGGTGCTGCAGTATGTCCTGTGCACCACAGCCTGCTGGTGGTAAGCCATAATCAGTCTCATGAAACACGAGGATTTAAATGCATGTTGTCACTCCCTGCTTCAAGATGCATCCTGGCCTTAAGGCTCTCTTAGACCTTTCTCTGCTGTTCCAGCTTCTCATTCTGACCCCAACCCCATCATCATTTCCAATGTTATGTCTAAATTTTTAATTTGTTTCAGGGCACTTGAATATCATAAGCGATTTAAAGGTGGTGTCACTCTAAGTGCATAAAATATTTTTAGCTTCATAAAAATTGTCTCAGAATGCCTTTCATGAAACTCAGTTTGCCTTTGGATTCTCTTCCTCATCACCCATTCCAGTAAAAAACAGAATGTGGGCATTCCATGGGTGGCAGACTTACTTTCCTTTGAAAAGGGCCCTTTCAGATCACTCTTCCTGAGAGTGAAGAATTTTGACCAATAGCTATTAGGTTTTGGTATCAAAAATCATGGAAATTTATATATTACTGCCATAGCATTCAGGGGAGGTAGTAGAAGACAAACAGATGTTAGGATCTCACAGCAGTTGTTTATCGTGAGGATTATAACTGGTGCAGATCAGAGCATCCCTGGCAGAACGCTGAGATTCCACCCAGTAATCTCTGTGGCACAGCATCAGCACAGGGCCACTCCTCAGATGTGCAGGTATTTCCACCGTCATGCACAGTGGTTAGGATGATGCTTGCAGTTGCTGCCTTCAGACTTTTCCAGAGTAGGCTGTTCACCTCGAACTCACGACCAGCAGTACAAGCTGTGGGGGGGGCTCTGTGGGAGTGGGGCTGCCCTAGTCTCCTGGTGCACCAAGATTAGCCATTTGGTGTTTGGATAGCTGACTCATCGAGTTTAGGTAGTACAGACAACACATGTAGTCACTAATGAAATAGTGACACGCTGCTGAGAGCAAGAGCTTTCCCACCAGGTGAGTACCAAGGATGTGAGGGAGCAGCTCTCCCTGTACCCCACCCCCATCCCCACAGCAGTTACGTGGTGTGGCCATTGACTCACCATCGTTTGAGTAAGATCTGTGTATATGTACCAAGCCCTACCAAAGCCAAGAGGTTGCCCCCTGACATAGGCAGACTATAATCATCTAACATCATAATCATATAAGAGCAAACACAAATAGAGTGCTTATAATGCACCAGGAACTGTTGTGAGAGCATTGTGTATACAGTTGACCCTTGAACAGCACAGGTCCCCTTACATGTGGGTTTTTTTCAGTAGTAAATACTGCAGTACTGTATGTTCCAAGACTGGTTGAATCTGTGATTGGTTGAATCCGAGGATGTGGAACTGTAGATACAGAGGAACCGAACTGCATATACAGAGGGCCAACTGACTGTAAGTTATATGCAGATTTTTGACCCTGCGGTGGTTTTGGCACCCCTAACGCACACATCGTTCAAGAGTCAACTGTATTCATTTTATCCTCAAAACAGCCCTATGAAGTCGATACTGTTTTTACCCTCATTTTACAGTTGAGGAAACTGCAGCACAGAGACATGAAGTGGCTTGTTCCGAGTCACACAACTAGTAGGTAGCAGAGCCAGAATTCAGTTTTAGACAGTCTGGCCTCAGAGTTTCTATTTTTATCAACTATTCTATCTTGAATAAATATTACATCCATTTCTAGTTAGGTATAGGCTCTATTCATGTTACACAAATTTAAGGCAAGAAGTATTACTAGAGAGAAAGAGGGAGAACAATTCAGAAATCAGGAACAAAAAGATAACTAGGAAATCTTCAAGTATATTAAAATTAAGAAGAACACAGTTCTAAATAATGTTCAAAGAAGAAATCACAGTGGAAATTAGAAAGTGTTTTGAATGAAATGATAATTAAATTGCAACATCAAAATTTGTGGGATACTGCTAAAGCAGAGATTAGAGGAGGCTCATAGTTTTATATAAATATATCAGGAAAGAAAAAAGTTTGAAAATCCATACTTTAAGTTTTCATCTTAAGCTAGAAAAAAAATTGGCAAACTGAAGCCAAAGAAAAAAGAAGGAATAAAGGTACAGGCTGAAATCAGCGAAATAGAACACAGGCATACAGTAAAGGAAATCAACAGAATCAAAAGTTGGTTCTTTGAAAACATCAATTGCAGTGAAGTGTAAGAAGCACCTCAATACATGTCCTTCCTACTGCTACCCCTGGCAGCTACTAAATTCTGATCTAGGAAATCGATTATAGAGTGGGATTTTTTTAAGCCAGTCCTCCTCCCACAGAAATGCTTTATACCACTGTCAGTATTAGTTTGTTGATTCCCTTTTCAACTGAGTCTCTGCAAATTCTTTTCTAACTGTTCTCCTGTCTCTGTTTGTTCCATGCTAAGCAGATGGCCCAGAAATTAGCCAAAAGCAGGAAGAAGGTGCAGTACAAACAACTTCATCAGCTTGGTGTTATGCCTGTTTTTTTTTTTTTCCCATTTATTTACGTTTTGCCTTTCTTCTTATTTCGTGTTTTTGTTTTCTGCATCCAGCAAGTTTTTGTTCAGATTTCTTTTTGAACCGCCCCATAAGCCAACGTTTCTCAAAACTCAGTTGCCCGAAGTGGCTGTTTTCTGTTGCTCATTAGTCATCTCACTCCAGAGGAATGACAGGGAGCAGATTGGGGATGCTGAAGGGATCCTGCAGTAGTGTGCAAGTGCCCACCATTCAGGAGCATTCACGTGGCAGGGACCTGGGTCTGCTCAATTCTAGTCATGTTTGATTTGTGGATCTGTCAGATTGCTGGATGCAAAAAAGAAAACTCGCTAATAACCACACGTGTGCAGAGTCAAGCCCTGAGTGAATCAGACTAATGTGCTTTTTTGGTTGTGAAGCTTCTAGGTGCTTATGAGCTACCCATGGGACACTGAGGCATTGGGGCTCACTCTTCCTGGGGTAGCTTCAGGAGTAGGTACTGCTTCTGTGGTGTGTGGTGTGTGGGAACACGAAGACCCTCTTACCACAGCTGCCTTGTTTGTACCTGCTGTAAGCATTGTCCCCCAGGAGCAAACTCTGACTTCTCCAAGGTCCTGGGGGTATGAGTCAGTTGCCCTTTGTTCCTTCAATCTGTTGGGCTCTGAAACCCTTGCAGACAGTGCCATTCACGATCATTGTTCATGGAGTCAGATCTACTACAGTTACTGCTTCCATGGCGGAAGAAGCAAGGAAGGGTCCGCATTTCTCCCTGTAACCTGGAGATGCTCACTCCCGTCCCCGTGTCATCCTCTGTGTGGTCCCTTCAGCTTTGGCAGTCTAGTTCTGAAGTCTGCATCGCTGTTCTGGTGACTGTGTCTCAATGCCTCTGTGTATGAGCTAACCTTGCTTGCACGCACCTGGGTCAGAGTAACGTATTGAGCTTTCTCTCGGTGCGTTTTCCTTCTCAGGCCCCTGAAGGTGAATCTCAGCCAATGACTGAAGTGGATCTCTTCATTTCTACCCAGAGAATCAAAGTATTGAACGCTGACACGCAGGTATTAGCTGGCTCCCACCTTCCTCGGGGGTGAAGCTTAGCATGACAACTAGGAGACTGTGCGCTTGTCTGTAGAGCAGCTGTCCCCAGATGCTGGCTTCCACACAAGCTAGAAGGTGGTGTATGCAGTGCCTGCTGCTGGGCTGGGGGATGGGAAGGGACTTTGTAGGGAGGATTGGGGCTATTCAAGATCAAAGGAAAAAATAAGCCTTGGATATTGTTGGCTAATAATTCTCATAAGTTTTTATCAGAAGATTCATGAACAAACTAGCCTTTTAAGAAATTTTGTTTAAAATCACACACACACACACATACACACACACACACACACACACACACACAATACAATCATCCAGTCATCACATGCAGATTTTTTATTTTTTAACTTCCCCACCAGAGATTCTACTGGTTGTCAAATGACTGAAATTCCTTTTCACATACTACAGACCACTTCCTGCTCTGGGTTATCACAAGCCAAGGGAATTGCTCCCAGGCCTGGGTGGGCGCATGTAAGTCTGCCAACAGGGTGTTTGCAGCGAGCTCCCATGTGTGGACCGCACTTGGCTGGGCTGTGGGGTGGCAGGCTGTCTCATGGGTCATTCGATGCCGCACTGGACATACCATCCTCTCCCTGCTGCCTTCCAGGAGACGATGATGGACCACCCTCTGAGGACCATTTCCTACATTGCAGACATCGGGAACATCGTTGTGCTGATGGCCCGCAGGCGGATGCCCCGCTCCAACTCCCAGGAGAACGTGGAAGCCTCCCACCCATCCCAGGATGGAAAAAGGCAGTACAAGATGATCTGCCATGTCTTTGAATCTGAGGACGTAAGGGCGGCCTCCCTTCCATGTGATCTGGGCTGCCCTTGGGTGGCCAGGTTCCCTCTAGCTCTCAGAACCTTAATCATATGTGAGACAAATACTTATTGAGCACTTACTATGTGTCAGGCACTGTTCTAGTGCTAGGGATATAAGGCTGAGTAAAATAGACAAGATACTCATTGTAAAGCTTGTAGAGAGACAGAAAATAGATAAATACACTTAATATAAAGTTAGGTAGTGGAAGGTTTGATAAGGAAAAACTAGGTCAAGGGATAGAGGGGCCAGGGGCTGTTTCAGGTAGAGTGATGAACAAAGTCCTTTCTGAGGTGACATTTGAGCAGAGACCTGAGTAGAGTTGAGAGTGAGGAAAGAGCAGGTGCAAAGGCCCTGAGACAGGGGCCTGCTGATAGAGGTTGAGGAAAGGCAAGGAGGCAAGCCACTAGAGAGGACAGAAGGGTGAGAAGAATTCAGCCAGACCCACAGGGGCCCGAACAGGTCTCACCTGACCACTCGGGCATTTGGGGAGGACAGTTCTTGGATGTGCAGGACTGCCCTTTCCTAACAGGCAAGTTAGCATCCCTGACCCTTCCCACCAAATGGCAAGAGCACCAGCCACCCACTCCTTAGCAAAACCAGCTGCTCCTCCAGTCACAAGGCTAGTGATCCCCAACGCCCATCTCTCCAGGTGATAAGGTCAGCAGAGGAAATCAGCGTACAACAGGGGTGGGGCCCATTCTTCCATTCAGCCTTCTTACCCAGTTGTCCCTAGAACTGCCGGCGAGAACACCAGGCTTCAAGCTGTGTTAGCATCGTGCTTCCCCCAAAGCTCGACAGGCCTTGGAAACTCGCTCTGGGCCTTGCTTTTTTTTTTTTTTTTTTTTCTGGCCAAGCCATGAGGCTTGCGGGATCTTAGCTCCCCGACAACGGATTGAACCCGGGCCCTCGGCAGTGAAAGCACAGAGTCCTAACCACTGAACCACCAGGGAATTCCCCCCACGATGGTTTTGAACTACAGAGCCTCCCCGAGAGGGCCGTGTTGGTGCCGTTGACTGGTCTAACTTTTCCTCCTGCCACAGTGGAATAAGCTGTATTTCTCATATTGAGCAGGGAACCCTTATATACTTAAAGAAAATTGCCTACAGTAGCCTTGGCTCCTTAAAAGGGGCCATTTTTCTCCAGAAGAGTGTTCATGCAGCTGCTTTAAATGGCCTTCCTCTGAGAAGTTAGGAGTCTGAGGCGAGCTGCTTTTCTCCAGGGAAACAGAGCTGACATGGCTGTAGCCACAGACAGGAGGAGACGCTTACACTTTTGTACCATCTTTTACTTGTCTGGTTCTCTAGAAAGCAGTCCCAGGGACACGGTCACTGAGAAGGCAGAGAGCTTGAAGCACCTGTCCTGGCCATTCTCCCTGCTTTTCCTTTAAAACTGAGGCCAAACCTGCAAACTGGGAGAAAATGAGTTTAGAAGGTTCTCGGAAAGTTCCAAAGGAGTTACATTTAGAATCTTAAGTTTCATGTGTTCTGCAGGCCCGTGAAAAGGTGGCGTTAGCTCTGCTCACCAGACGTGAGGGTCCCGGTACGACCCTCTGCCACCTCCCTCTGGCTTGGTGCTCCTAAGGAGGGCTTTCTTTCCCTTGGGGCTCCTTTGGGTCTGTAGGGGAAGATGATGAAGGGGAAGAATGAGGAAGCAAGAGTGGACCTGGGAATCTTACTGCTTTGCTTCCAAAGCCCAGGACAGAAGGGGGAGAGCATGGCCTGCAGAACTGGGAGGACTGTTTGTGGATCCCGTCTCCCGTTCTGCAGAAGCTCAGGCTGTGCAGCTGCTGAGCTTCTGTAGAATGGGCTGCCGTGCGGCTCAGGTGGACACGGCAGAGATATAAGTAGCCTGTGTGTGTTTGCCCGGTGCATCCACACGTGACGGTCGGGAGGACCGCTGGCCGTGTTCTCAGACACACTTTTTTTAGTTCGTCTGTTCACACGAGCCTCTGATGCCCTCGGTGAGGCCTCGGCAGGAGGCAGCATGGTGGTCCTTGATGTGACTTGTGGCATGTGACGTCACCAGATCCTCAGCGTGAGAAAAGTTGAGCATTTCTTTCCCCACTGCCAGCCACACAGAAATTTCTGATAACACAGTTAATTAGCTGCTTTCAGCAAAAATTATCAAAGGTAGGGAAAGGAGGAGTGCAGATTAGAGTTGTGTGTGTTTGAAACATTGCCCTAGAGCTTTTTGTTGTTTTGCGGGCTTTCTACCCACTACTATTAGAGCAGCAGTCCCAGTGGTGGGCAGGAGGTGGGCTCCGGAATCAGGCTGCCAGGATTCTCAGCGCCCATCCCCACCCCAGCTTAAGCTCTCAACCTCGTTTTCCTGATCTGCCCAATGGGAGCAAAGAAAACAGATCCGAAGTCTCAGAGCTCTGAGAAACAAGGGATTTTTGTACTCAATTGGTTGATAAACCTGCTTTGAGCTGCCATGAGACACTTTATAGGATTTGTCCAGCTTACCGTGGATCTTACACATTTGTTGCAGGAACGTTACTGTGTTTAGGCACTTCTCCAGGCTCTAGTGGGGTTTTTACACAATGTATGATAAATGCACCCTGTTACCTTTCTAAAATGTGAACATTTCTGAATTCTGAGACACTGCCTTCAGAGCTTAGGATGAGGGCTTATGGACCAGTCATACTTAATCTTAGACTTGCTGTGAGGATTTATGTGACGGTGCTTCTGCAGCATTTAACACAGCACAGGCTCAGTTGCTGGTGTCTCTCCCAGGTTGTAATGTTGGTTAATTAATGCAGGGAAAGGTTATCAAAGCCCAGTGCAGGAGAAAGAACAACAGAAGCAGAGTTCCTGTCCTGTGAGCGGTGTGACCTTCCTTGAACAGGTTCCTTCACGTCTCTGGCCGCAATCTCCTCACCTGGAAAATGCATAATAATTTGTAATGTCCCATCCGTAGATAATATGAATGAAATGAAATTCGTAGATAATATAACCTCCCTTTTTGAAAAAATTTTCACAAAATAACCAAAGTATTGCCATAAATATAACACAAAGGAGAAATAAAAGGAAAGCAAGCTAAATAAAATAAAATAGGTTGATAGACACACACTCACACACACATGCAGAACCACCATGCTCTACGGCCAGTGTGCAGGCTGATGGGAATGTGGTTTCCTGGCAACCCACATCCCACGAATAGCACTGATGCTGATGATTTTCCAAAGTCATGAAGCTTACTCGTGGTAAAGTGTTGGACAAAACAAAATACCGTCTTCTCTCAATTTACGGAATAGTTGTATTCTGGGACTGTTCAGTGTGTATTAGAGCGTGCAACTAAAGTCCTGTGTTTTTATATAAATTAGAGTTGAGTCCCAGCCTTTAGACACAGTTGTTATATGTACATGAAGGTCCAGTGGGATATTTGAAAGTTGTGCAGGATGTAAAACAGCTCGTCCCGTGTAGGACTGTCCTTTGCACGGCAGTAGGTCCAGCATCTCTGACTCCTGTCCATCAAATGCCAGGAGCTCCATCAGGACCATTGTCATAGACAAAATTGTCCCCACTAATTTTGAAAATGACCTCTAGCAGGCACTGCTGCCCCATGGCGACCCACTGGGCTAGCTGCCGCCTAGGGCTCTGTAGTCCTGAGGGACCCAGGTCGCCCACCAGCAGTGCTGCCCTGTTGACCCCGTCTCCCCTTTCCGGCTCCTCTCCAGGCTCAGCTGATTGCACAGTCCATCGGGCAGGCATTCAGCGTGGCATACCAGGAGTTCCTCAGGGCCAACGGGATTAACCCCGAAGATCTCAGCCAGAAGGAATACAGTGACCTGCTCAACACCCAGGACATGTACAACGATGACCTGATCCACTTCTCCAAGTCGGAAAACTGCAAAGATGTAGGTACTTTCCAGAAGCTGTTCTCTGAGCTGGGCCAGCCGGGCCCACCCGCGATAGAAGTGAAGGCAGAGTGGCTGGGCTGAAGAGTGAGCTCAGGCCCATCTCTGTCTCACCTCACATGAGGCCCGATAAAGACTGCAGCCGAGGGCCGTGGCCAGTGAGACAGGTCGTCGTCTGCTTCCTGCAATCCAGAGCTGACTTTGGGGTGGGTTCCAGAGGCAGACGGGACCTGGACCCTGCCCTTTACCAAGCCCACAGTCTAGGAAAGGGCACAGAAGATTTTAGATGATGGTGCTGGTACAGGCACTCGTCAGAGACAGCTGTACTTGGCGGATTGGAGCCGATCTCGGCTCTCAGGTCTCAGATGATAAGTGCCGTGCTCCCCCAGGGACCGAGCTCTGCAGGAGTGTCTGGAGGAAAACGGGGCCATCTGATCTGGTCTGAGGTCTGAGTATTCTTTGGAAAGTGTAGAGGAGTGCAGAGGGCTGAGCCGAAGTAACAGAAGCATGAGGGTCCGAAAGCTCAGGAATTGTCTGGGGAGCCACGAATGAGGCAGCCAGGCTGCAGCAGGGGTTGTGCATAGGAGAGGATGTGAAGAGGCCAGTACAGGCTTTGGGTCAGAACTGGAGGGCTTGAGAGTCCAGCTGTGGTGGGGGGCCTGGACTTTATCCACTAGGTGTGAGAAAGTGATCCTTCTATCCACTAATGAATGTTAAGTGTCCTAGGCTCCCTGGAAGCAGAGCCTGAGATGGGAATTCTTGTACATGGGATTTGGGGGAAGGGTGCACCCAGGAAAAAGTGAATGTGGGCGGCAGGGTGGTGGGGATGCCAGGGAGGAATGTGGCCTTGCTGGAGACGAGCATCATCCTGGTCCAAAGGGAAGCTCCAGCTCACACATCGCAGGACGGACCTTGTCTCACCTAGAGCCAAAAGAGCTGGCAGGCCTTTGTAGGCTGTACTAATCAATTATTGACACCAAGGTCAGACGGAGGTGTGTTAGTGTGCTTGGGCTGCCGTAACAAAGTTCCCCAGACGGGGGCGCTTCAACAACAGAAATGTATTGTGTCACAGTTCTAGAGGCTGGAAGCCCGGGATCAGGGTGTCCGCAGGGTTGGTTCCTTCTGAGGGGGAAGATCCATTCCAGGCCGCTCATTTGCTTGTAGATGGTCATCTTCTCCCTGTGTCTTCACTCTGTGCATGTCTCTGTGTCCAAATTTCCCCCTTTTGTAAAGATACCAATCATATTGAACTAGGACCCACCCTAATTATTTTATTTTAGCTTGACTGCCTGTGAAAAGATCTTATCTCCAAACAAGGTAATATATGCCATGGAATATAGAGAGGACAGGACGCATTTGGGTTGGAGTCATCAGGGAAATGTCTGTCATGTTTAGTCAAGACAGGAATAGGGAAAATGCTTTGATTTCTGTTGCTACCCTGGATGGTTGCTGATTCAGGCTTTCTACATGTTTTCCTCCTTTCAGGTCTTCATAGAGAAGCAGAAAGGGGAAATCCTAGGTGTGGTGATTGTGGAGTCTGGCTGGGGATCCATCTTGCCAACCGTGATCATAGCCAACATGATGCACGGAGGCCCAGCGGAGAAATCGGGGAAGCTGAATATTGGGGACCAGATCATGTCCATAAATGGCACCAGCCTGGTGGGCCTGCCTCTGTCGACCTGCCAGAGCATTATTAAGGTAACTGGAGATGGGAAAAATCAACCTCTCTTGTAGACCTGAAGTGATATGAAGTCATCAACATTTGAGCGTATTCTAAGTGTCAGGCACTGAGAAGGACACAAATACAAAAGGCATGGACTTGCACTTGGGTTGTTTACCATCAAGTTGCTATTTACCAATTCCTCCCTGAAATTGTTTTTTCAGGGATGGTATATCTGGCTCACATAGCATCACTCCCTAACACCATGCCCTCGCAGACATCACTAATCAATCACAGCATTCTGTCCCATTAAGTCCCCACTCAGCCTCAACAGAATTTTCCTCAGCTCAGTAATCAAGACAATCACTTATAGTCAGCTGGGTGTTCTTGAGATGACTTGCCATCCCTGTTACAAATCATGGAAATGCTTCAGATCCCAGGGCACTTTCCTTTACTGTGATCCAGGTGAGTGTATCCTCCCCGGAGCCTGCGTAACATGATCCACACATGCCACGTAGAAGGAAGGAAACTGGTACAGTCTGTATACGCCTTCTAAAACCTGAACATAATTACTTCTTGTTCAGCCTGAATTGATACTGTTGTGTGAGGCTGAGAAGAGCTACTTAAAGGAAAATTGAATATGAGTATTTGAGGGCAAGAAATTAGATTTTCTTAGAAATGAAGTATCCATGTGTAGTCTCTTGAGTGCATTGGAACTCACTGATTGCATGGGAAGTAGGAACAAGTATATTTTTCCTTCACTACAGTATCTGTAGACCCTGCCAGCTCTGTACCAAGCAGTGTGGTACAGGCAGACTAGGATCCTATGACTTTCTTTGGTTCCTTGGGGTTTCCTGAAAGACTGTTAACTAGAATATAGCTCTGTATGTGTGTGTGTGTGAGAAAGAGAGAGAGAAAATAAATGTGAATTTATAGAATAGTTATTCTAAGCAGAAGAAAATCACAAAAGAACATCCTTGGCCAAGGGCCCTGGGATGGAGGGGAGGTCAAGGTGAGTGTATAGGCCAGACAGGTCTACCTCGTTGCGTTTTTTGTTTGTTTTTTATGTTATATAGGAATTCATCTTTTTTTCTTTTTCCTGTTTTTTTTATCAGTATTTTTTATTGAAGTATGGTTGATTTATAATGTTGTGTTAATTTCTGCTATACAGCAAAGTGATTCAGTTATACATATATATACATTCTTTTTTTAATACGTCCTTTTCCATTATAGTTTATCATAGGATATTGAATATAGTTCTCTGTACTATACAGTAGAATCTTGTTGTTCATTCATCCCATATATAAAAGCTTACCTGTGCTAACCCCAACCTCCCACTCCATCCCTCCCCCAACCCCCTCCCTCTTGGCAACCACCAGTCTGTTCTCTATGTCTGTGATTCTGTTAATGTTTCATAGATAGGTTCATTTGTGTCACATTTTAGATTCCACATATAAGTGATATCCTTTGTATTTGTCTTTCTCTTTCTGACTTACTTCACTTAGTACGATAATCTCTAGTTGCATCCGTGTTGCTGCAGATGGCATTACTTTGTTCTTTTTTATGGCTGAGTAGTATTCCATTGTGTATATGTACCACATCTTCTTTATCCATTCATCTGTCAATGGACACTTAGGTTGTTTCTATGTCTTGGCTATAGTGAATAGTGCTTCTATGAACATAGGGGTGCATGTATCTTTTTGAATTATAGTTTTGTTGGGATATATGCCCAGGCGTAGGATTGCTGGATCATACGGTAATTCTATATATTTTTAGTTTTCTGAGGAACCTCCATACTGTCTTCCACAGTGGCTATCTGACCAACAGTGTAGGAGTGTTCCCTTTTCTCCACACCCTCTCCAGCATTTGTTGTTTGTAGAATTTTTAATGATGGCCAACCTGACTGGTATGAGGTGGTACCTCATTGTAGTTTTGATTGCATTTCTCTAATAATTAGTGATGTTGAATATCTCTTCATGTGCCTATTAGCCATCTGTATTTCTTCTTTAGAGAAATGTCTGTTTAGGTCTTCTGCCTATTTTTCGATTGGGTTTTTTTGTTTTTGAGCTGTGTGAGCTATTTGTATATTTTGGAAATTAAGCCCTTGTCAGTCATATTGTTTGCAAATATTTTCTCCCATTCTGTAGGTTGTCTTTTCATTTTGTTTTGCATGTTTATTTTTTTTTAAGTTTATTTATATATTTTTGGCTGGGTTGGGTCTTCGCTGCTGCGTGGGGGCTTTGTCTAGTTGCGGCGAGCGGGAGCCACTCCTTGTTGAGGTATGAGGGCCTCTCATTGCAGTGGCCTCTGTCACTGCACAGCACGGGCTCCAGGTGCACGGGCTTCAATAGTTGTGGTTTGTGGGCTCTAGAGTTCAGGCTCAGTAGCTGTGGCGCTCGGACCGAGTTGCTCCGTGGCATGTGGGATCCTCCCAGACCAGGGCTCGAACCCCTGTCCCCCGCATTGGCAGGCGGACTCCCAACCACTGCACCACCAGGGAAGCCCTGCCTGTTTATTTTTAATGAAACAAATCTAAATCCTCATAAGATAATCACACCCAGAAAGAAATAGTCCTTTTTGGGCTCATTTCTTTTTGTTATAAATAAATTCTACCTCTTGCTTAACATACATTAAAGATAAGATTAAAGGTCCTAGTTTGAACATGTATATTCATTCAAACATGTTTAATTGGGCTTCTGTTAGCCTGAGCTGAACTGTGAAGAAGCCAGAATGAAAAAAATAAATAAAAATTTAAAAAGCCAGAATGACAGTATGCACACGGAGGATAATTTATAATTGAAAGGGTTCAGTGGGCCCTAATGGCAACATAGAGGTGAAATGCTAAGAGCATTTGGAGTGGGGGAGCGGAAAATCTTACCTGATTTTTTTTTTTTTTTTGAGGTACGTGGGCCTCTCACTGTTGTGGCCTCTCCCGTTGCGGAGCACAGTCTCCGGACGCGCAGGCTCAGCGGCCATGGCTCACGGGCCCAGCCGCTCCGCGGCATGTGGGATCTTCCCAGACCGGGGCACGAACCCGTGTCCCCTGCATCGGCAGGCGGACTCTCAACCACTGTGCCACCAGGGAAGCCCTACCTGATTTTTAAGGTGGGCCTTGAAGGAGGAGTTAGACTCAGGTGGATAGCAGAAAGGAAAGTGGCCTTTGGGAGTTTCTTCTGGAATTGATGGATGGTGGACTGGCTTTGTGTTGGGAGAGGCAGGTCTGAGCCAGCCTGAGAAGGCTGATCTGATGGTGTGATAATGTGCAGAAGCCAGGGAGGGCCAGGAGTAGGGAGAAAGGACCCACCCACGTTTGGCTTCTCACTCACACATGCCAAGGTTCACAGATGCCCTCTCACACCAGGGAGCAAGTTACTTATTAAACACGGATGCATGTGTGAGAACTGTCGAGGGGCCATGGGAGCCAGAGATGCCTCAGACACAATCCGCACCCTAAGGAGCTTGGCCTCGATGGGGAGAAGGGAATGAAAGGACTGATAATAACAGTGACTGAGTGCTGTGCGCCTGGACCATTCTGAGAATGTGTGTGTTCACTCGCAGAACCCTACAGCAGCCTTCTGTAGGGTAGGTACTATTGTGCAAGTTAGGAAACAGGCACAGAAAGATGATATAATCATTCGAGGTCACACAGTGTGTCAGTAGTGCAGCCAGGTCACTCGGCCACCCTGATATCGTTCCAGCGGTGTCTGTGGTCAGACCCTGGGGCAGTGGTTCTCAACCTGGGGGATCTTGACCCCTTGACCCCCCGGGCGTCATTTGGCAATGTCTGAAGACAGTTTGGGTTGTCACGACTAGGGAGAAGGAGATGCTACTGGCATCCAGTGGGTGGAGGTCAGGGATGCTGCCAGATACCCTACAATGCACAGGACAGTCCCCACAACTAAGGATTATCCAGCCCAAATGTCAATAGATTGAGAAAGCCTGCCTGGGGGAGATAGTTCAGGTGTGGGAGAGAAATCTGGAGAAAGGGAGGTCGGTGAGGGAGGGAGGGTGGGGGGGGGGGGTTGATCTACATCTGGAAAGGCTTGGGGAGGAGGAGCCAGAAGAGAGGATATCTTGAGCGCAGGTGGGGCTGGGGCCTGGGTGGGAATAAGCAGACCTTCCTGAGGACTGGCAAGGCTGCATGCCTGAGCCCATTTACACACCTGCCCGGCAGTGCCCAGCCCTTGGCACTGGTCACCTCCCTTCCTCTTCATAAAAAACAGCCTGTGAGGGAGGGTGATGGCAAATGCCTGGTTCACAGATGAGTCATCAGCTACTCAGAAGGTGCAGACAGCATGCCCAGGACACCCCAGCTGACGGAGTCCAGATCCCCGTCCACCCCTCCCTGCCTCTGCACAAAGAAGGCAGACGAGGTGAGGGAGGCTGTGAGACCCATGGCCTGCCTTCCCTTGGTACCACACGGGGACTGGTCTTCTGCCCAGTGCATCACACATCAAGGTGGAAACAGACTAGCACAGGGCGCAATTGGCACACTGAGCAGTTTCCTAAGGGGAAAAGGTTTGTTTGCACGAGTAGCTGACCTTTGATGTCTATAAATGGAGTCTCTCTGGAATCGGAAAATTAAAAGGCCATGTGGTGATGAAAGAGATGTAACTGATGAAGATGGAGAGGAAGAAAGCCAGCACCTCTGTGGCCACCCTCGGCAGAGAAGTACTTAGCAGGCGGGACACAGCTGCCCTTTCTCAGCACTGCAGGATGCGCTGCCTTGTCGAATAGAAAAGGGTGATTGGCCTTGTCCCCTTCTCCCCCCACCCCGAGAATCTTCCTACTGATTCCAGCTAGAATTGCCAGTACCGAAGAAGACGTTTAATGGGTTGTCTCCTTGTTTTTAAGTTCTGTAAAAACATCTTTTTTGCCTGCCCCTGAGCAGGTACTCACACTGCCCTACCCTCACCCCTAGGCCCCCGCAGGGGGGCATTCTGGGCTTCTTCAAGGCTTCCCATCAGTATCGCTTGTTTCAGTGTTATGTCAGTGCTCCTTGCGATGAATTTAGCGAGCAGCTCTCATCCTGGAAAATCAGTGCTTAGCAGACTTTGATTGAATCACCCAGGGATCTTAGTAAACTGCAGGTTCTGATTCGGCAGGTCTGGGGTGGGCTTCTGCATTTTCAACAAACTCCCCGGTGATGACATCGCCAATAATGGGCTTCGAGTGTTCTGCATCTTGCCACTTTAATGCATGTTGACCTTTTCTCTCCCCTGGTTATAGGGAATAGAGTATGTTTCTAGAATAGATTACAGGTATTGAATTATTTTCTTTCTTCCCTAGCTCTTATATTTCCTGTCATAGTTCCTAAAGCATAATTACTGGTAGGCAAAGCATGTTAGCAGACCGCCTGTTCGTGCCATCGCCTCTACGGTCCTGCCCTCCAGATTTGTTTTCTTTTTGAAACTAGAGCACCGCTTCCTTACCTTCCACAGGATCATCACAGGTCTGCTTTCCCGTTGCTGTAGAGACCATTCTGGCTTCTCTCCTCTCCCGTTCCCTCTTCCCTACTCTTTCCTCCCACCATATTTCTTAATTTGCTACACCATTCCACTGTTGTCATGGGGACGAAATGACCATTTATTTAATTGGCACCTCCAATAAAGTGGCAGCTGAGAAATCCGAGTTAATGGGACCCAACTTGAAGCATTGATGGGGAACAGCAGAGCAAGTGCGTGGTCTGGTTGTTTCAGATTTGCCATCTCTCTGGGCTTCGTCTTGCAGCAGATATCCCCAGTCTAGAAATTCTTTCACTGAGGGACAAATCAGCATCTTAAATCAATGTACACAAAAGAACCCACCGGAGCGATGTGGACTTTTTAGGTAACAGAGAAAATACAGTCATTCTCTTGCTTTTCAGGAGCTCTCCAAGGTCTTCCTGTATCTCACAGACATACCTGAACAACCCCAGTGTTTCATAGGTGCAAACATTTAAAGCGGGTAGCTCTATCTGGAGGGTTGTGTTTCTGACAACATGCTCCTTATTTTCATCATCCTTTGCTCTTGTTTCCCACACACTCCTGGTCTTGTAGTTTGTGATGTGGGGAGAGAAAGGGGAATGGACTCTGGCTGCCCTGCCTGTGCCCGCAGCCCTCCCCTGAGCTCCCGGAGGCCTGGCTCCACCAACTCCCAGCGCCTAACACATGTGTTGGCACATTGCAGGTGATCCATACATATCTACTGATTGAGTGATAAAGAGGGGGCTCTCAAGGGAAAAAGAAATATATGCACGAATGGTATCTGAGCAACACCCCCGAAAGAGAAGCCGATTTGTAATGTTAGAAATAGCTGTTTCTGAGCATGATGGTTGAGATGTGGTGTTGTCAGCAGACATGCTTAGGAAAGAATAAAAATGCATAACAAGGGCTGAGATCATAGCAATTAGAAGTGGAAGAGCTCTTAGTAGGTTTCAGCATTTGTTTTGAAGATGTGGAGACTGAGGTAGAAGGTGGAATAGAGGGTCTAAGGCCCTCCGGGCTGTGGTGGAGGAAACACAGCTGCAGCCCAGGTCTCCTGACCAAGCAGAGGCCTCTTCACCCAGCCCCGCTGGTCCCACTGTTAGGGGAAGAATTCCAGCACATTCCCGTGGGCATGGGTGACGGGACCTGCTACTGTGCGGGAGGCCCGGACCTCCGCAGACTTCCTTCCTTCCCCCCAGGAGAATCGCCCTCGGCACATTCTGTCGCTCTCATTTGAAAACATGTCTTGAACCGGAGAAGTTTCCTAGAGCTGTTTCAGAAACCACGGAGGGATGCTGGTAACAGCTGCCTGCAAGTGCACACACGTCACCACAAGCCAAATCACAGCCGCTGGGAGGCTCCAGTCCTGCAGAAAACAGCAAGTCAGGAGACTGAGGAAACAGCTGGGGGTGGGGAATTAAACTGACCTCCTCAAAACTCACACGTTGAGAGCACAAGCTGGAATCACCCAAAGGAAGTGGGGCAGCCAGGGAGCCAGAGCCCTGAAGTCTCGCCAGGTAGGCGAGTAAACTAAAAACACGGCCCCATGCAAGGCTGGGCGAAAAGGTTGGGGGCCCAGCTTCATCCTTCTGTCACTCTCCCTGGCTTCTCTGTCCAGTAGGCTTTACTCATGAATAACACACACCCTCCCATTATCTATATGGGGAATCATGGTGTAGGCGAAAATGCTCTGGGTTTGAATACAAATAGACCTGGGACAGAATCTTGCTGTGGGTGAACTTGGGTGAGTGGTGAAGCCGCAGTTTCCTGCTCTATAAAATGGGCATAATTAGAGCTGCCAGTTTGTCAAGGAGATTAAAGGAGACAGCTCCTGTGACTCCAGGTCGGTGCCCGGCAAGAGTCAGTGTGCAGTGACAGGTGGTTTGGCTAGTTTCGTCATCAGGATGGGTTTTAATGGACAGTGACCTTAGGGGTGCTCACACACATGGGGGTGGCTGACTGAGCACCAGGCCAACTGGCTCTCTGTCACCCTCCCCCTGGCATGGCTAGCCCATGCTCTCATGGAGCACACTGGCCACAGGTATGAGTAGTGAACTGACATCTTTGACTCTGATCATCCCTGAGTGCATGTGAGTTCATTGTTCTGCGGCAGTGGTCTGTACCAGTTCTCAAAAATGGAGTGTATCGCCAGGAAGTGTGTATCAAGTCATCGGGAAGACTCATTAACACACAGATTGTTGAGTCCTACCCCTGGAGTTTCTGATTCTGTAGGTCTGGGTGGACCCCAGACTCTTGCTTTTTTTTTTAATTGAAGTATAGTTGACTTGCAATGTTTTGTTAGTTTTAGGTGTACAGCACAGTGATTCATTTATCCATATGTGTGTGTGTGTGTGTGTGTATACATTCGTTTTCGGATTCTTTTCCCTTATAGGCTATTACAAAATATTGGGTATAGTACCCTGTGCTATACAGTAGGTCCTTGTTGGTTATCTATGTTATGTAT